AGATTACAGACATTAAAAAAAAATTAGTCTCAGCTTTTAGTCATAAATTTTTACAGATTTTTAACAACAGCTTATGCACTTTCATAAAGTAGATGGCTAAAGTTGAATTTAGGATAAAGCTATAGAAATAGTAGCTAACAAAGTATTGCTATCTAAAGGTTGTGAAATAATTATGTTCTGTAAGTAAGATTGGTTTTGGGAATGGAGATGTAATAGAGAAGCCAAAGAGGAAAATGAATGAAAATTAAGTGAGTTCTCTAGTACATTAACCAATTCTAGGGCCCTCCTCTTGCCAGTATAGAAAAGAATATGTAAGATTATATTCTGCTTTTATGACAAATTCCAAAAGAAATCATAAACTAAGCCCTAATTTTATTGATATGCTTAATGCCCATTACTTCACACTGAATAATGTAACAATGGCTTTATAGCTTAATACCAATCAAATAACTATTATCAGGATAAAGGCCGATATGTTTTAGTGAGAAAAAAAAACAAAACCTATACATTTCATTACTTAAATCTATCTTAATTCTCTTATTTAAGCTGCTTATCTCAAAAATAAACTATAAGAGAAAAATATTACTGATTTGTTAAAGAGCAGGAAACAAGATTGTTTTTTTAATTACTAGCATGCACATAAAGTTGCTTAGGGTGCATTTTTAAATGTGTACGCTGTGAACAAACTTGGATTTACAAGAAAATAGAAAGTTGACAGAGACAGGGTATATTTAGAGGAAAAAAACATTTCTACTACTTTGCCACAATATAATAAACAGGGAAATACAGAAGCCAGAAGAGTATTTCAATCAAGTTTCCTAAATCTTTATTTCAGTTATATCCTTCCAGATGTGCCAATAATATGTTGCCAGCATGTTCAAATAAAAATAAGAAAATCACATAGCACCATGCCAACTACTACTTTATGCTTTCATGGTTCAACAAATATTTGCTGAGCACCAGAAATGGGATACAACCAGGGTTCTAACAAAGTCTCAGTCCCCAAAATATTCACAACTTAAGTGAACAAGGAAGCTGTAGCAGGGGAAAGGTGGGGAGGAAGATGCCAGATTCTGGACGCCCATGGAAAGATATGTAAAAGTTTTAAAAAGGGGCCCTCCCTGGTGGCGCAGCGGGTTAAAGCACTGCCTAAGAAGCTTAAGTCACTTTCTGCATGAGTTCGATCCCCGCCTGCCCCGGAGGAGATCCCATGGCATGGCAGACCTCTCCTGACTCGCCCGCTGCTCCCCTCAGCAGTGTACTGCGTTTATCTGCCTGTTCTGCTCCCAGCTCTGTCTGTGGTGAATCCTCTCACCCTCCGCATCTCTGGCCTGTACCCCAGTTCTGTATGAATAAATAAAATCTTTTAAAAAAAAAGTTTTAAAAAGGATATGACATCAGCCACACAAGAACAGGCCTGTAGGGGGCGGTAAAGTATGACTGAGAACATAGCACAATTTACTAGATGAGATCAAATATTGGCAGGTGCTGAACTTGCCAGCAGAGGGCCTAACTTTGAGGGGACATGAGTTTGTAATGTGGCCAACTAGATGAAGATAGTAGTTGTATAAATAATGTGCTACGTGCTCAATAAATATTCGTTTCCTTCTTCCTTCTCATGAGTATTTCTCAAAAACTTACCTCTCTGCACGAATCACACCACTGTAGTAGGGGGGATCCCAAGGCATTAATTCCTACAATGGAATAAATCATTGTATGTAAGCCATGGCTATTTTACAATCATATCAATAATTCACTCAACTTATAAAATGTACACCTACTATTGTATTATTACATCAAAATTCATGACTTAGAAGGAAATACCGACCTCTTTATTTTCACTTGCCTGTAATCAATGAGTAGAGATGCATAAATAAGGCATAATGCCAGAATAAGGGAGAAAGGTCAATAAATGTCACTCCAAAATGTAAACTAATGTGGATTAATTCAGCCATGTTGAAAACTTTTCCCAAAATGTAACATAAGTATTAATCCCTAAAACATATTGCAGGTAAGATTAGGGTACTAAACAGTAAGATTAAGGTTCTTTCTAAATTTAAGCAAGAAGCTTAGGGTGGATCCCAAAAATGAAAGTAACAATTTAAAATATTAACTAAGGGAGAATTAACTCTAATCTAGGCAAAGAAAAAGTATGTCATAAGGAAGTATTATTGTTTTGTTTAACAACTAGTACAGAATAATGAAAGAAAGGAAAGCTTAAATAACTGAGTAGCTCATCTCTACTGACTCCCCACACCAGTGTTTGCCAGTTTTGCTCCTACTGTGTTTGCCTGATTTTGACACACTGTGTCTAAGGCCACCTCCTACAATTCTTTCCCTTGCTCTCTCCACTTTGCCTACATCTCTACAGACAACCACACAATCTTTGTAGCACCCTTGAACCAAATGAGAACCAGTGTCCTAATAAGGGTACCCTAACCACTTGGCAACCTTCTAGATAGACTGTAAGGATACTTCAGTTGTAATGTATGAGCCTATAATTATTTGTTCATATGAATGAAAAAATACAAGTGTTTTTCGCACAGGGTATGTTTTGTCAGTCAATACCAATCTGCATATTGAGTTCCACAAGGCAACAAGCAAATGAGAAAACCTCAACATTAACACTGATAGTTAAAACTGCCACCTGCCAGATTAAGCCTTCACTGAGCTTCCTTAATGGCTGACTCTGAGGAGCCAGCTTTCCAGAGTACATATTAATAGGCATTGTGTTAATATATGTTTATAAGTATGTATCTGTATATATATTTTATGTCAATCAATACAAATAATGATTTCTTAGAAATGTCAGGCTTATGGTACAGATTAAATATCTCAATGTATTCACCAAAACCAAAGATTAGAAATGAGAATACACACACCATCAGGATATCACAGAAGTTCTACAGTCAAAAGATAATTACATCGACCATTACACTGTCTATATTATAATAATAATAATCCAACATAGTCACTTACAGAATTTTGAGGATTTAGTTTCATCTTCATCCCTTGTATCATCTCAAAATCTTTTATCGTTCTATAAAATAGGTTTATCATTGTTAGGAGAAAATAATAATTACATTATAAAAGAACTAGTTTGTTTATGTTTATGTTACTGTCTAATATTCATAGTAGAATTAGAAGTAATCTGCACTGCAACTACAAACCAGTATTTATCCAAATTTTGCATGTATAAGAAGAAATGGCAATATGTATTTGCTTAGTGTTTCAGGAAATGAATTTTCTGTTAGAATTAATTCACATATAATTGTAAAAATCTGTAAGGTATATTTGCTAAAAATGCAGATTATACCTACATAGAAGTGGAGAAAGAACACTAACAATTAGCTAACAATGCATAACTAACATCTTCCTCTTCAATAATTTATCAATGTCACAGCACTTCACCAAATTAAAAGAAAACTAAAAATTTTATATATAATCCAAATTAGGAAGGATTGTGTTCTAAGGCATGCGTTTATTGTAGAAAACAACAATTTGAACTCAAATTTAACATTTTGGTGAGGTCTAAAAGGCAAACAAAATTTTAGACAACATCATAAAAAAGAAATGCGAGAACACTACCCTCATTAACAAATATGGCATGCAGCTCCTGGGACCCAGGTCCCTGGAGAACTGCAGCAGCACCCCTCAGTTAAAGCACAGCAGAGGACAGTGCAGGACAGGGAAGTGACCTAGCACCCTGGGCAGCAGGGAGGGGGAAGGCAGGCGCAGAACAACCCCCAGTAAAAGACATTAAAACACTTCAGCTTCAAATCACAAACACTGGAGCAGAGCATTCTTAAAGTACACTAAAGTGAAATGCACAGGTAAGTTCAGCAAAATATTACCTATATTTTGATCAAAAGAAGAGAAATACAACTTTCTGGACTTGATATAAAATTGATAGGTACAGTTGTATATTTCAACTGTATATTTATAGGTACAGTTCCAAAATGTCTGGAAAATGCTTTAAGTTACATATCAGTGATGGGTTCCTAAAAGACAAGGAGCTGATTACTCAGAAGGGAGAGCTAAGCTTTTTGTAATACTGTCAACTTAGGAAAAAAACTGTACCACTTCAAAGTGTACCTTACAGTTACTAAAATCTCTCATGGAAGAGTCTGCAGATCTCACCCATTAGTCCAGCACATACGTACCTAATAGGTCACTTCCTAATTTTTTATAAGTCAAGTCTTAAAAGGACATATATTTCAAGAGTTAAATAAAAACGAACCTTTCAGAAAGTTTGTCAGATAGTTTCTCAAGGAATTGCATGACAGTCTCTAAAAATAAAATCCAAAAGAAAATATTTTTAATTACATAGTATGAACACACCTGCTAAAAATTATAATATGATGATCATAATCAATACACTACAATACCCTAAAGGGATGATTTTGAAAGGGAAACTGGGCAGCTAACTAACGTGTGTGTATGTATATATACAGCAAACATTTCTAGATGATGATCTCTTTATCAAAGAAACATAGTAATAATTCAAAGCTTTATATTATTTCCCAAAATGAAAAAAAGTTAATGGGATACTACAGAAATGAAACCAAAATTTTAATATGCTTCTATCTATTCATATGTGCAAGAGAAAAAAGAATTTTCTTAGAAATCTAATTTTTCTGAATTTGAGAGATAGCTATACTCATTTATTCACAAAAATAATACAATTTACATATGTGGTTCACTGAAAATTAGTCTTCAAAAATCAATGTTATTTTTATTTTTATCTACAGTTGCAGAAAAATTTATTCAGATTCAACAGTAAAAGAAAAGAAAGCAAATGTAGGACATTAAAATTTTAAACTTTAAGTCATTATACCCATTTTACGAATTTTTTTTTCATTTTATGAATTCTTAAAGGCAAGACAGTGACATTATCATGATTGCCCAGGAAATTTTTCATATGTATTTTTTTTTTTAAGATTTATTTATTTGTGCATACAGAACTGGGGTACAGGCCAAAGGCTCAGGGGCGGGGAGAGGCTTCACCAGAGACAGAGTGGGGAGCAGAACAGGCAGATCGACGAAGTACACTGCTGAGGGAAGCAGTGGGCCGGTCAGGAGAGGTCTGCCACGCACTATGGTCACTTCCGGGGCAAGCGGGAATCGAACTCATGCGAAAGTGGCTTTCACTTCTCAGTGCTGTGCTTTAACTAGCTGCACCACCAGGGAGGGCCCATGTGTATTTTTTTAATTTAGCACTTCTGGGCATAGATTTATGCACACAGAGCTTTCATATATATATTTTAGAATTTGTTACAAACACTTTTTAAATTTCCCAGATGATCTTTTACATGGTTTTAAGTTTCTTGCTCTCTTTAATTTACCTCCTTTCTTAGTAAAATGAAAGGTTGAGGAAAAAATGAAGGTTAATCTAAACCAGTAAGCCATGGGGTTCCTTACCACTGTCAGCACTTAAAAGCTTACACAAGAGTAGTTCAAAAAACACTGCCTTGTGTGCCACTTACTATTAGGAATTTTAGAAAAAGCTGTTATTACCTGAAAAATGAAATCACATTTCAAGATATCATACCAGCTATCATAAAGAACTGATTTTCAAATAAATCTGTGTATACATTTTATATATCTAAAAACCACTGTTTACTTTCACTCATTTTTACTTCCTAGCTATATATGAAAAATCTACTTCAATTAATCTTTCTGGGAAATTGCTCTGATGAAAGAGAGCTTGAAAACCACAGAGAGTGAATAAAGCCTTCCTGGAAAGCTATTTCCTAATTCACATGAACGCTGCCTTCCCCTTTGTTTACCCCCTTCCTATCTTCCTCCTCTGCTGAAAGCTCACCATTCTTCACTATCCATCTCAAGTTTCACTTCCTTTATAACACCTCAACAGCCATAGAGAATCTAACAAATATACTGAATTTACCTACATTCTATGGCACTGTTAAATCTATTTATTTGGCATAGAAAAGACACCAAGAACCAATTTGTATCATTACTTCCATATCTATCTCTTTCTACATATACCTTTATATAGAGAGATACAGATATATAATTATATAGATATCTTTATATCTATAGATATCTTTATAGAGAGAGAGAGTGAGATATATCTGAGCTCCAACTAAATCTGAAATCCTTCAAGCAGACACAGGCCATATCCTGTGTGACTATGTGCACAAAGGTCTAACTGTAAAATATTACCACTTGGTGATTTGCTGGTAATGCTATCTGGCATTAGCTGTTCAGGTCTGGAAACTTCCAACTTGCACTGCTCAAACTCCAACCTTCTTCAGACTTCACCTGGCCTCAGCATTTGAATCAGCTGATCATCTCTCCTCCCTCAGGTATTTCTTTGGTTTGGCTTCCAGAATCACTGTTTCTGTTCATTTTCCTCCTCTCTTACTGAATGCTCCCTGTTGGCCACCTTTACTAGTTTTTCTTCATATTTTTGACCCCTTGATGGGCACCAGAACTTCTGTTCTTAAATACACTCACCCACTTGACAACTTCATAATCTCATGGACTTAAATAAAGACCCAAACTTGTATGTCCAGCTTAGAATGCCCTCCTCAGTTTCATAGCTGAATATCTGACTATTCAGTGTCACCATTTGAATCCCAAATGGCATCCTGAAGCCAAGCTCCTCGTTCTCCCCACCTTTGTTAACATCGACCATCTCTGTCTTTCCAGATGCTCAGGTGGAAAACCGGTTCCCTTTCAAAATGCTACATTATCTAAAGTCTGGCCACACTCACTGCCACCACCTTCTCGTCTACAATGCTCCTCATCATGTTTACTGTAAACCATCTTCTAAATGATGTCTCTTCCACCTTTGCCTCTCTACTCAACATCAACAGGACATGAGTTACCATTAAAATTTATGTCAGATTATCTCAGTTCCCTGCTCAAAACACTCTAATGACTTCCTACTACTCAAGAGAAAGCCTACCTAATACACCCATTTGTTGTGTCTGTTTTCATTTTTACCACTCTCCCTTCCACTCAATACATTTTGGCCACTTAGCCCTTTTTTGTTGTTCTTCAAATACACCATGCATCGTCTTTAGACCTGCTCTTACTGTGCCTCTCTCTGCAATCTCCTGCCCCTACAAAATCACACAGACTTATTCCTATGCTTCCTTCAACTCTATGCTCATGTCAGACAGTCAGCCCTTCCTTGACAACTCTGTTTAAAATCCAAACACTGTCCCTACATGCTCACATTCCTCATTCCTCCCTTTATTCCATTCTCTCCACAACTGTACTAACAAGTCGTTATAAATAACATAGCACATTTTTTCTTTATTTTGTTCTTATCTGGCTCCCTTACAAATATAAACAAGAGCAGGAATTTCCATCTGCTTTATATGCTGGTTTATTTCTAGTGATTAGAATATCTGACATATGGTAGGTCTTCAGTAAATACTTGCTGAATCATGAATGAAAGTAGAGAATATACGGGTGACATCACATAGAGCACTTGGTCTCAAGCAACCCATGGAAAACCAAAAATTTAGAGCATGAGTTTGCATTTCAGATCTGCCACTCTTCAGCAACAAATATTCTCTTAGATTCCTTACCTGCAGAATGAATACACATCTACCTCACAAGGCAATAGAAGCATTAAATAATGGTTCAAAATAAGCACTGGATAATATTATAATGTGTATAATTATAATATAATCACATATATTAAAACAATCTGGGGGAAACAGTCACTGCAAAAAGACATACAAAATGTCCAAATAATATATATTTGAAGCCAAACTATGTGAAACAAATTGTAAGTGTTTTAAGGGTACAGGGACAAGAGTCCAAGAAAAATGAAAAATTTTAACAGGCTTTATGAAAGATGTGGGCTTTGAACTGAGCACTAAAAATTTGGATAGGATTTTAATATGAGAAAGTGGGAGTTGTTCCCCATGCAGGAAACATGAGCAGTGTAATAAATACAACATCCCTGTGGTTTAACAGAGTCTGAACAGAAAAATGTCTTATAGGAGGGATATAAAGGAAATAATAATAAATTTTAAAATAAAATAATAATAAATTTTAAAAAACAAAATTAGCAGGCAACTATAAATCAGAGGCATTCTGCAAGGGAGGGAAGAGTTGGAGGAATCAAAACAGGAGAGGGAAGAGCACAAGGGACTATGGTGATGGTTCACAGGTGAACTGGTGGTGAGAGGAAAAAGAATTACAAGCATACGTTGTACAAAATTGAACAATGATGTAAAAAAGAAATATATATATGTGTGTATATGTATGTACACACACACACACACACATATATAAAGAGTAAGAATCATGGTAGGGTGGATCTAGGAAAACTTTAGAGAACACATGAACATCCTAGAGAAAGAAGGGATAAAAATGGAAGGAATAAAGATAGGACAGAAATAAGGATGTGGTCTTCTTTCCTCATTGAGCCAGTTTCTCTTTTCTTTGAGTTCCCTTACCCATGGAAGGCACACTCATCCAATCCACTACCAGAACCCTAGGGAACCAATCATGTCATCTCTTCTCTCTCAAAACATCACCAAGTCTTATCATCAACCTCCAACGTATATCTGGAACCTGAACAGCTCCACCCTGATATCACTACCACCCTACTTTAGTGTTTGAATTGTATCTGTAACTATAAAATGCCACTGAAAAAATTTACTATATACATTTACATTTTTATTTTGTCACATTTTCTTCTATACTATGGATCATTAAAGAAATCAACAGAGCACAAAGTAAATTTATCACAAACCAAGGAAAAAAGCTTTCCCCCTTTCTAGAATAAACCTTCCCAAACAATACTCCTCTCTCACAAAAGGTTTACAGGACTACATATTTTCATATAACCTACATTTATTCTTAACTTCAACAGAAATATCGATTTTCATCCCTTTTCATACTAATCTAACCATTTGGTTAGATTGAGCATACATGAGTTGACTTTAAATGGAAATACTTTAACATCAATGAAACGTTAAATATGGTTTATTCTCAACATTCACATGAAATAAAGCAACTTCATTGTGCAAAATATATTCTGAACGATTCACACTACTAAAATAATCATTTCTATCTAAAGATGTAGAAAAATCTTTAAAAAATGGGATTCTAAATACATTAAAAATAGGATACTAATTTATAGCTATTTTAAAACAAAAAGTCCAATTCTATAAAAGTCCCATTTTGTCCCTATAAGTTGAATAACAGGCCTACCTGGATTTTTAGCTATTGTTCCTTGAAGAGCTCTGTGGGAATATGTAGAATACCCAACTAACTTTGCCAGAAGATCTCTGTTACTGAGCAATTCTTCTAAACATTTCAACTGACCAGCATTGGGATAAAGAAAAATCTTATAAGCAGCTTCTCGTACCTGCATTTAAAAGTAGATAGTAAAAGAAATAAATACCATGATATGAAGTCTTATGCAATAATAATATACATTAAGCTTCATTATCTCATTCTGAAGGTGATTGTTGCTTTAAAAATAAAATAATAGCTTACATGGTGGATAAAACATTTGGATTCACAAGCTAGTGTGAATACAACAACATACTTGACTGGTGTTCTCTAGAATGGTGTACGGAAGGAAAAATTTTTACCCAATCTATGTGTCATAAAGCACCTTTAACCAAGTGAAGAGTACATGCATTAAAAATATGAGTTGGGGCCCTCCCTGGTGGTGCAACAGGTTAAAGCGCAGCACTATGAACCTATCCTTAACCACTACAGCACAGTTTGATCTGGCCACAGCATACTTCTGTCTTACCCGCTGCTCCCCTCAGTAGTGTATTTCAGTACATCTGCCTGTTCTGCTCCCCACTCTGTCTCTGGTGGATCCTCTTACCCCCTGCATCTCTGGCCTATACCCCAGTTCTCGTGTGTAAAAATAAATCTCATAAGTTTTTAAAAAATCTGAGTTGTCTGAAATGTCAATTACTGCTGATATCTATCACAATTTAAAAATGAGGAGTTCTTTATGAGAAATGAGTAGTTAAATCATTTTTATTATAGAGTAATGCCACAGTTGAATTTTAGGGCTTAGTAACACTGAGATTTTTTTTTAAAGATTATTTATTCATACAGATCTGGGGTACAGGCCAGAGATGCGGAGGGTGAGAGGCTTCACTAAAGACAGAGTGGGGAGCAGAACAGGCAGATCGACGAAGTACACTGCTGAGGGGAGCAGCAGGCGGGTCAGG